CTCGACGTTCGCTGGGTCTCAGTCTACCCCGTCCTCAGACACGGCATGACCCACTTAGGTTAATTGATACTTCAGGAACAGGCATAAGTTGCGTTTTGTTGTCATCCCCAATTGTAACCTATCGTTTGGATCAAAGGTAAGACTTGATTGTGATCCTCCTCAGTTTTGCCGTGCAATATGCTATCGTGAATGATTACTAAATGGTGGATCTGTATTAACAATACCAATGAGTTATGCATGAACCGATGGAACGTGGCGGGCGCATTTGCCAATTTGAAAGTTATCGAATAGAATAGATAAAAAAACTGGATGGAACGAGAAATGCTAAATTAGTTTTAGTGTGGAGCTCAACCTCCCAATAGTGGGAGGGAGGTACATGTTGATTAACCAGCAGGACACCGAAATTGCAACCGAGGGTACCACGCATACCTGGCAGCGGTAATGAATGCTTCCGCATAACCAAGTTTAACCCGATAACCTAAGCAGGGCCGTAGTTAACCGCATTCCTTTATGACCAAGAAGATGGGTAACGCGGAAGTTTACTGATCCATTCGTTAGGAGGTGTCCTTCCTAACAGCGCCAATATGCGCTTTGTTTGGCAAATGTAGATGGACGATGAGATATCTTTGTAATGGAAACAAACGTTGACTAAATTGTGCAGAGAGTAGTGTGTACGTCAGCAGCACCAACACGTCGAGTGTTAGGTGATATTTCATAATAATTAACGTAGTAATAAAGTGCTGGGATGGGAGCAGTATCGGGTTTGATTGTCGTTACTGACGTAGATCTATATGAAGGTTAGAGTGCGTCCTGTCCAGAGCAAGTTACGGAAGTTGAATCAGTATCTTATTAACAAGCTAATGACGGGTGACCTCACATCGATCAAAACTCCAGAATTATTTAAAATTTTCTCGTCTAACAGTGACCGGTAAAACTAGCATGTGGATAAAATGATGCTTAGGGCCACTTTACTAAACGGGTCCAACTGAAAGATAGCCAAGTTTCCCAGAAATATGGTAGCATCGGCATCACGGAGACTGGGTTAAACGCTGAACGAAGGACGCTGAAATTTTGCTACCTGGCATGTCAGACGTTCGGATAGACAGACTGACATTAGGATGAGGCGTACTTATATCTTACCGACGAGGTCTGCGGTGCGAGGTCATGGAGGTTTCAGATTCACTGATTCCTTATTTGCTTTGAAGCCGCCTGCAGTTAATAGGCAGTGACACGTAAGTTATTGCCTTGGTTTTCCGTCCACCTAACTCCACGTCTGAAACGGACAATTAAATTGTGACTGCCCTACAGCAAACTCTAAAAATAAGGTACACTCACATCTTGACCAAAGATGATTTTGATGCGCATTGTTTAGCAACCATTATCACGAGCTGAGAAGAATTAAGAGCAAATCTGCAGGAGCTAGTAACCACTGTTCCGCTTTAGAATTATGTCACTTCGCTCACTCGCTTCAGAACAGGTAATAGACCATCTTTGCCTGATCTCGTGCTTAACATCCAAGAACATATGATTGATGCGTTGGTTGTGGACTGCCTGTTAGATCGCACTGATCATGAGGTTATTAGCTTCAACTTCAATTATAATGCAGCACATCGAGTTGCAGACAATGAGACGGCGCACACCACCACATGCTACGGCAGAGTAGCCCACCTTGTCAGTACCACAACTTTGCCGTTCCACGCCGAAGATCCCCTGGAGGTCGGCTGCCTCCTGTTCCTAAACAAATTCAGTCGGTCGGTTACGGATGCTCCAGAGACAAAAGTTTGCAAACAGTCTGAAACAGTTACTTACCTAAGGAGCATAACCCCATAATTGCCAGCGGTAGGTAACGCAGCGTTGCGAGAGTACAGATCATCCCCAACACCAGAAAGTTTGGATAAATACATAGTCTAACGAAACAACTGAACTCACCTGCTCATAGTAAATGAAGTCTCGCAACAGCAGAATTTGACAAAATCCTTCAGCGCCAATCACAAACTGCCTAATGAGCGCGTTCGGGATATGTATTTCTTTGTAAGTAGGTATATAATAGGCCCATACAGCGTTGGCCGCCTTTTTCTTTGTGTGTGTATACCCGCCAATCCTAGTGAGTGGTGCGATTCCTCCGCTGCAATTTACCAAGTCTATCCACGTCCCTATAAAGAAGCATGTGGTTCACAAAGAATCGTTTCGCTAGTTCCAATTTGTGTGTTATCTTGCCTTCACGAACCAACTGCACAGGGTAACTCCGCTGGGCTAAGTACGCTGTCCAATATTCTGCGCTGCGAATTGTTTTGTAAATACGCCATGACCGATCCCTCAAGGCCATAAAATTTCTCAGCAATAATTTCGGTTTGATGGGACGTTGAACAACTTCTGGCTGTGGTGCTTTTGTGACTAGTAACGTAAACATTTTCAAAATGGTTTCCCAGTATACTTCTCTGATGCTCTCAGTCATGGATGTTCAACCAACCTTTTCAACAAATGCATGCAAAAAGAGATAATGAGTAATATATTGCTTCGTTTCGGGCTGAGAATCGGGGTATTCGGCGTAGCAAATATAATGGAACGGAAAAGTCGCGTGATTTCATCGACTGAAATGTCCGCACACATGTAGCCCATCAAGCATGAGTTAGGGTCGGCTGAGAAATAAATTTTACATTAATGGCTTATTCGCTGTTCTAAACGTGGTGGGCTCGGTGTTGAGGTTGGACAGGGATGTGATAGAGCCGAGCCTTTGCAAATAGACATTGACTTGTTCTCCTCCGGTTGAAGGATTTTCCGAAACATGGATTTTGGAATGTCATCTAATGCGTAGGTTGGTGTATTCACGATTTATCTCAATGTGAAATACAGTTACTGAGCTGTGGTGCATATACGAAGTGGATTTAGGTGGTCGGTAAACTACAAACACGAAATATGTGTCGCTGTCATACAACCAGTGTTTACACGAAGGCCACCATTTACACATGGTTGAGGATAACCTATGTGTAAACAACGTGGGTTTGTTTTATAATATCTGATGACTATTCCTCGCCTGCCCTTTCTGTCGTTCCGGAGAAGTGACATACCAGATACAGCGATTTCAAAGTCGGTAATTTCGCAGTTCAGCCACGTTTCGGTGGTCATTATTATGTCTGGAGGATAGTAAGGTTGGCGGTGACGGAGCTCGACCGACCTACTAATAAGGCATTGTGCGTTAGTATACAAGCAGGTTAGTTACTCAGTAACCAAAATTGAACCATCGGACGTTAGACTTAGATTGGAGCTTGTGCCGACCGTTGAGGGTTTGGCCACTAAACGTTTTTGTGGGAGGTTGATCGTTGAGGTTCGGTTGAGTTATACCCCTGCTCTCGGCTGTCCTGGTCCTGGTGGTCTTCCGTGTTAAGTCGTATTCCGTCGGATGCCTAGGTATCATTAAATTAATCCGTGCACAGAGCTGAATGAGAGCATGGTAAACGAGCTAATCATCCCCTAATAGGTCGGTAGCCATTGGTTGTTGTGTACACGATTCCTTGAACCGCAAATCCCTAGGTATCCTTCTGAACAAAATTACCTTCCTTGTCCAATATAAGCAGTGTCACTTGCTCAGACTGATGTAGTACCTTTCTTAGTTTCGACCAGCATGCGTTCTAAAGGTTTACTTCTCTAGTCGGCTGGTTACATCCTGACCCTAAACTCAATTCCATTTTAAAGCTTATAAGTTTAATGCTTCTAAGTCACTTATATTTATCTTATCACATGATAGAAACAGCGTCCACTAAAATACCTTCCTTTCACAGCGGATTTAATGTAGCGGAAACAGCGCTGGTAAACCAAGGGACTGTAATTACAGCGGAAACTAACTACGGCTCAGTGTTGTTGTATTATGACCACACATGGAAGCTTCCTAGTCATCTCAAGATCGCCAGATCGAATAAAGCATTAGCTACCCAAGAAAGTTTTCTTCAGCACACATTCTACCAGCTACCTTACGATCACCACCAACACAATTCATTTGAGTTCTTGGCCCCTACATCCAAGTCCAAATGCGCTGAACCGCGTTTTTGGTTAAGCTTCGGCAGATTTGTCGTCGACAGAGGAACTTCAAAAGCTTCAGATCAATATGGGTTATAGTCTCCAACACTTGCATTTAGTTCCGCAGCTTGCAAGAGTAGCGGAACCCTAGCAGTAAAAGCCATCTACATGACTTCCACTTGCAGTTCTAAAGACTTTCTTCTAACCTAGGTGTAAACGAATCTTGAATTTAACGTAAGCAAACACTGTTTCTTATTACTGTTCGCTATCTTAACAATATGATACATTTTCTTTGTCGAATTTGATATATCTCTATGTCCCAGATTGTCGTGATCACAGAATTGTGGTTTGACGATCAAGTGCATGCATCCTATTGCCAGATCATATTATATAACAGCAACATAAGCGGTCGCCGCAATGACAGAATGTGGGGTGATTTATTTTATTGAAGGATTGATACTCTGTTCAAATTTGATTAAGCCCAATATTGATAACGTTTTTGACTCAGTACAGATTACAGCAGTAAGCTAAAAATTGTAAATTCTTAAACGGATATTTTGCAATCCGCCTCATCGCAGTAAAATCCATATTACAGAATTTGCTGAAAAGTTTGACTGCGTCTTGGAGCGCGCCGACAATTATAAGTCAGTTGGATATGATTTCAATATGCCAGAAGTCACTTAGCACTCCTAAATCTAACTACCCAGATTGCTTTAATTTGTCTCCAGCATCCGCTCAAAAGACGGGCTCAACAATTCTGTATCAGACAAAGAATATTGCATCCTTGATCTCATCTTTATCTCGTTCGCTCAAATAGAAAAATCACATCTTAGATATACTTTCGGGTGGTGAACTTCCATGTGAAAATGAATTCTCTTATTTCTTCGCGTTGAAGTAAAACGGTGGGTGTTATAATATGTATATTCGAAAATGCGTTTCAAATCATCGAATGCGTGCGACGATGCGAATTGGCCCAAATCTTCGTATTAAACTAAAACGGAGAAGGGAATATATGGGAACAACTGCCATATGAGATAAAATTGTTACCTTAGATTATTATGTGAAACTTATTTACTAATGTACGGATTGGATTACTGCATTCAAACAAATAATACCTCATAGATAATGGAAAATCTAACACTCACGTTTATTGCAAGTTTTCAATTTGGTGCCACCACAGGAAGTGCCATACTTCGGATACAATGGTATGAAATGAGGACGTAATCTTGCGGACAGTAGCGAGTAGCTTCTTCGCATCACTGTTAGAGCAAACGATAAGATTAGTGAACCCTCAACTTACGTTGCGTCCTCACTAGTCGTTGCGGGCCAGAACATGATTTGTGTGCGGTGAAACTATCCAACATTTTTGCATTGCTCCATTGCTCCATTTATATTTGAGCTTCCGGCCTTGTGCACAACGACCTCCAATCTTCCAATCAAGTGCAAGTGTTGCGTGAGTCCGTGAAACGCTTAGTGCTTATTCGCAAAGCTGACGTGAGTACTAGTGTATCACCTTGAACACAGAATGGTTTGTCAGATCGGCCTCTGAACTAACAGTGCGACAAAGTGGCCCTGCATTTTTAGTGTCCTTATGACGTAGTGGGAAATTGTTGCATCCGCTTTATTTCTGCAGTCGATATAATTCTCCAAATATGAAAATTGAACAAGCGAGGTTGCTTCTGTTTGCAGCATTGCATCGTGAGCGGGAATTTATACTAATTTTATCATAAAAATTGTTGTTGGTAATGTAATATCACCAGATATTAACGTCGTACCTCCTCTATCCTAATTAAACCGACTCTATTCCGTGAAGAAAAGGTAATGCAACGACACGACGTGGTCTGTTGGTAAGCTATCATCGACATTTGCAATAAAAGCAAAGTAATATTTGTTGATACTACAATACAATAACTTGCTCTGTAACAAAACATTTAGAAGCACACGGAGTGTTAAATTATTTGCCAGTGCTCTACCGACAATTGAGGCGTAACATCAAACATACTGTCCACGAGCTGCATAAAATTATATCTATTACCCAGAAGCAAATTTGAAATGAAGGCGCGGGAAACCCTACGACTATGTTAAGAAAAAGTTCTTGTTCAAGCAGCTGCAGTTTTCATGGCGTTAACAACAAATCTCCCTAGCATTGAAACTGCCCCAAACGATGTTGTATAAATTTTCATTGAAGTAGCACATGCGTTAATTAAAAAGCATCATCTGTTATGTAGCATTCGACACTAATCTAACTCTACTAGCTTGATGCAAGTTGAAGGAATACATCAACCCAAATACCTCTTCTGACTATCAAGAATGTCTTACTTGCCTGATGCCGAGCAGCGTGGATTTTGTAAACCTCTATCTTGCTCTAACAATCTGCCGATTGAAAGCAGTGGTAGGAAGTGGCAGATGAAGGAATATGGTTCTGTGTCGTTTACCTCGATTTTGTCGAATTCTTCAGCAGCAGTTTTTATCGTCCTTTCTGTTACGGCTACATAGCTAAGGAACTGGGCATTGTCCCCCTGGATGGACATCGGTAACAATTGCCTGTGATTGTTTTGAATGCCTTGTTAGACTCTGTCTATGTTGCTTCCTGAGTTTCACACAGATCAGCTGTGATTTGTTTGCATGCGTTGATAATCTTTCGAATAAGCTGGTCTCAAATCGTTTAGTTTTTGCTAATGACATTAAAATGCAGAGAACAACCGATGACCGACAATTCCGCGTTTAGTATTTATCTTTGAATTGGTCGCTGCTATTTAATTCATCCCATTGCAAATTGGTTCTCATTCGGTCACGGCCAAAACCCAGACATTTCCGTGCATCGCATAACAATAAAGACCGAAGCAAGCGGCAGGCTTTTTCGTTTGTGTGTCCTGATTGACAGATTTCAAAATGCTGGCAGTGCCAGTGGGACGGATTTCTGCCACTGAAATTACTTTATTGCAATGCAGTCTTAAATATGCCGTGGACGCATTTATCTTGGATGCAAATGCTGTTAAAGCTAAGCAGGAAGCAACTTCTAACTGGTAAGTACACGATACTGCAACCGAAAGAGTAAACTGAACGTCAGTGAGTGACAGAAACTCGTCCTGAATGTAATCCTGAGACCGTAAATTGCACAAACAGTGTTACTCATCTGCGGCCAATCGTCATTCCACCTGCCGAAAGGTAAGGTACTGTGGCAAGTGAACAATAACGGGTAAGCAACCGTGTGTTTTTAGTGCGTTACAATGTTCGAAAACTTATCTTTACACATTGCCTCACTTCTCTCATTTTCTTTTCGTCTCAGCGAATGAACAAAACACGCCCAAATACGCTGGTCGGCCGTCCATCAGTCTATGTGCAGGGGAAGGTAGACATTGACTTGCTGTCTGAATCCTTGAAGCATGCCTGAAAATAATGGTATTTCGACACAAGCTGTTAAATCATAAAAAACTTAATATTTGGAAATAAATGCGGTTCAAACTTTGATTCCTTGTTCAGGTATGTTCATCCATCTCTCTGCCACCATGGGTGTAGCAAATTCGTGCGGCCTGATGTAGAATAGATTAACTACGACTGCCAGTCCTAACAAAGAACAGCCTTAAATTCATTTGAGAAGAAACGGTGAGTAGCAACCAAGCTCATCAAATGCTGTTTCTACCGTTAATGCTGACCTAAGCTGCAGACCATATCGTTGCACAGCTTTCGGAAAAGAGAAGAGAATAGAATAAAATTGAATACTTGCATTTGTGTTCCCATCTTCTTTCTTTAAAGAGAATGGTTAAATGCCATGTGCGACTAGAAGTTTGTGTTGGCCATACAATACAGTCACCGGAAGCGTTGATTTAATGTTAATCACCTTCTTGTGCACCAACTGTGCACAGTTGTGGCGTAGCTGACTTTATCTTCGATAGAACCGGAAATAGAGGAATGGGTATACGTAAAGTACACCAATCCCGAGTTGAACCATTTGTACAATCGTCTTGTACGTGGCAAGGTGAGACCAACGAAATAGGAACTGGCCGACGGCAGCTAAAAAACGAAATGTCGCTGTTTCCATGACCACATCTTTGTGTAGCAAATAATATATTGTATTTCTCGCAAACTTCCAACCAATTTACTACGAAATGACTTGCCCACGTCTACAACTCAATAATTCATGCGATGGATACGCGAATAGTTAAGGCACACCATACAGGGTGATGTGGTGGCTCCGATTCTGGTGGCCTCGTCTGCGGCGCGACATTGCTATGTATTGTCAGTCGTGCACCAAATACGCAAGCATCACGCACCCAAGGACCACGCGCCGCAGTCTACTACAGCGAAAGACAATTGGATTACTTTACGAGATTGTGAGTTATGACGTCATTATCCCTATGCTGTAGGTCATGGTTACGTTCACCTAATGGAGGAATATTTTCAATTTATCCATAATCGTCTACTTAATTGCAGTTCCGTCGGAACGATTCATACTGTTGTCACCATCACATTTTCAACAAAATGGAAATTACTGCAGCAGTTCCCAAATTTCGATGTTTGTCTTATTTTCTTAGTTGAATTGATTGGTGACAATGCTGCGCAGTATCGGACTACGACGTTTTGTGCCTAACATATCTGTCAAGCGAATTCGAGTAGCTCGTAACTTCAGTTAGTTGAATACGATAAGGGATGCACTTTTTGATCACATGATCTCATCCATATAAAGTATCTAATCAGTACCACTCGTTTCAGATGTCTATGCATGTTGCTTGCAACGGCTTACAGTAGTAGGATACACATACTTTATACCTACGGCGTCTTCAGGCGGTTCCCCTTTTCAGCATTAATAACAAACACCTCTTCGTCTATCTAATCTCATTAAATAATAGAAAAGCGTTGAAAGTATCCATAGGTGCCTGCCAGCTCTAGTTTCATCTACCTACATGAGAGGTATGCATGAAGCGTTGGTTAGTGGATGAATTAATGTAATCCCAAAGAGCTTTGGTGTTAATTCCAGCCAGTGTCTGTTGAATATACCCTAAGCAACATCATGGTGCTTCTCCGCGAATAAACAAAGGAATATTAGGTTATTTAGTTACGATTCTAGGCGGTTGCATTTCAACTGCTGCTTAGTAACGGCTATGTTTTACGACTTACAAACTAGGCGCGTTGCATTAACGAAGTTCACGCTTATGTATTTTGAATTTGTCGTGCAAAAGATATGTTTCCCATTATGCTCTAACTACCGTTGTAGGAATATCCAGCATTATATTTTTCCATGTATAATTACCTATTTTTTAAATGGCGAGCAGAGCCCGATGGAACCATAGTTGATACTGTAAATACATGCTACCTATCATTACCTAAATATTACTTCAGGATTAGTTCACGATGGAACTACGGCTTTTTCTAGACCTATTATTAGATAGCGTTCTTCGCTCAATTTAACGATAAGCACTATGAAATGAAAGACACTAATGTATGTTGACGGAACTCTGAAATTCTGGATCACTTCGCCCAAAATGTAGCATTCAATCTGTAATGATTCCAGAGAATACATCTTCCGATCTTCACAATAGGTGCGTGTCTGGAATGTAAGACCTTGCTACTTCAATGAACATCTGCGTACCACCGTTAACATCTCAATTCTATTAACACTGGCTAGTTGTGAGAAAGGTGTGCTCAGAGAACAGCACACTACTAAAGTTCATATCAGGTTACTTATTTTGATATGCCATAATTCAGAGGAGTGTTTCTACTCAACTAGCCATGTGGTCACCGCAAGCACGTAATTGTAAGCCATTCAGCCATTTAGATTCACATATTGCATTCCTTGCACGTAAAGCACTTCAGCCATTTGATCAAAATGAACCTCTCATCTGTAGTTACATTAAACTATCAGGATGTTTGATAGCACACGGTAATTAATAGATCATTGTGGGATAATGTTTGAAATAATTCATTCTCGTCCAATCAAAATGTTTCCTTAATGTTGCAGTTTTCGCCTGAGAGGTGTTTAAGCTCTTGATTGGAATTGTTCATCCTTGAATGACAGGTGGTAGAAGTACAAATTAATATACACGAGTTTTATCTAACCTTTACACCTGTTCGTTCGGCTAATTATTTGTGATCGACAAGGTGATTCGCATTATCAGTAGGCAGCTTATTTTAAGAATTATACTTTTTAGCAAAGCGAATTTCGCCGTTTAATTTGTAAATTATGAAACGCAAGCGGTGGTACCATATACTTAACTCTACAACATGGTAAAGGCGATTGCGTGCAGTGTTATCATATCTAATTGACTCCGACCAACAATTCGATTTGCACGACGCATTCACAACAATCCACTATGTACCCGGACGGTACACCCGAGCAGTCAGATGCCGCCTGCTGTCAACAGCAGATGCGATCGCACTTCGGCTCTAC